TTTATCATCTAAACCCTTTTTATTTTGAAAATGTTTTACAAAAGAGGAGAGAATAATAGAATGAACCTGATGTATCCGTCATCCTCTTCAATTATTAATATAAGGCCAATCTGGTCTCAGCTATACCCTTACCCATTTCCCCCTTTTTCTTCTTAAACAGTTTTCAAAATAGTGAGAGCTGTTTCCCTGACATCCTCCAAAGGTTATGTAGGATTGTTTTAAAATATTATTAGCAATTCATAGATTTAAACATTTGTTGCCTGGCCACAGTGGCTACCACACCTGTAATCCTAGCACTCTGGGAGGCGGAGATAGGAAGATTGTTTGAGCTCAGGAGTTCGAGACCAGCTCGAGCAAGAGGAAGATCCGGTCTCTACTAAAAGTAGAAAAATGAGCCAGGCGTGGTGGCACACACCTGTAGTCCCAGATACTTGGGAGTCTGAGGCAGGAGAATTGATTGAGCCCAGGAGTTGGAGGTTGCAGTGAGCTATGATGACACCATGGCACTCTAGCCAGGGCAACAGAGCGAGACTCTATCTCAAAAAACCCCCCAAAAAGCACATTTGTTATACATGTATTATACAGTATATACTATATATTGTATTATACATTATATACTACACTATATTATACATTTGTTATATGCCAATCTATTATAATTATTATTATCCTTATTGATGTTCAGCTTGACCAGGGAAACCTTATTCTGGTTGGCTTCTGATTCCTTCTGGCATGACTCCTAGTAGTCTTTGACACTGTTTGCGTTTTTGGTATGACGAGATATTCTAGGCTCATTTTGTACATTTGCTGCATCGTATTTGGAATCAGTCATTTGTGCAAGGAAGACTGACTCCTCTGGAGGGAATGATGTTTAGAGTTCATAATCTGATTGCTAGGGGTACACATTGCTACTAGGATGGTCGCTGTTTCTAGGCCTGACAGTGAACAGAGCTAGGAAGTGTGTGTGTGTGTGTGTGTGTGTGTGTGTGACAAAACATAAGGAGTTTGTACTGATATTCCCAGTTCACTGTCAGAGCTACAGAATTTTTACCTAATCTCATTAATCTTACATTTGCATCTCCTGTTAACCAGAAAATCTTGTTTATCAGGGACATCAATACTATTATCCATTTGATTTATCCTACAATGAACATAAAAAAGTCTCATCATGATCATAATAATATAGTACCATCAATAATATGATTCTTGATAACAGTTTAGGATTTCTTGGACAGGATGGGACAGTTCTTTTTATCCTTAGGGTACATCCATCTAAAAATATACAGTCAAATTGTTATGTTTTAATTTCTCTCTGTGCAGTATGCCAACCAGCTGGACTAATAGGTTCATGTGTTTCATTTTATTTTCATTTTTTAGAGGCTTTTAAAATTTTTAATTATTTTGTAATTAGGCCAAATGTTTACATATTCCACAGCAAATCCACACAAGAAGGTCTATGCCAAGTCCAGCTTCTATCCCTGTCTCCTGGACCTCATTCTTCCCTTTCCCTAGTGATGTAAATATATTTTATGCTTTATCCTTTTATTGACTTTTTAAAAATATAAGCAATTGCATGTATGTTTTTGCTTAAGTAAATGGTAGCGTGTTAAACACTTTTTCTTAAGTAAATGGTAGTGTGTTAAACACTTTTTTAATTATGTGTTTTTCACTTAATGAGAATCTCGGAGATACAACATCGGCATGTAGGATATATTTCGAATAGATTCCTAGGTCTAGGATTTTGGGGTCAAAGTGTAAGTACTGATTTTGATAGATATTGCCACATTCTCCTCTACAAGGGTGGATTTTACCATTTTCTGCAGGCATATTTTAATGTTAAATAAATAAGAGATATTATCTCTGCTGAGAAAGGTTAAGTGATTGCTCAGAAGAACTGGACTTGAACCTCCGAAATGCTAACTAGCGACCACCCAGTGGTCTGACCCACTCTATCATACCCTCTCCCCATTTTACAGATGAAGTTGAGACACAAATAGGGCAGTGACCCACCCTAAATGACATAACAAGCTGGAACTTAAAACCCACATCTCCTGACCCTAAAATTGAATCTCCTTCCAATACGTTAGGAATCTACTTACGGTGAACTTGCTTCGCTTAACTGTAAATAGGGAAGAAAAACACAGCAGTTCTAGGAAGCTAAAAAATTCACAAGATAATTGGGGAAAGAAAATTCCAAGATATGGCCTAACTTCTTTAGGCGAACAGGGACTTGGCAATTACACTGTAGTGTCAGGGCACTGAAATGATCTTACGGATGAGAGAGACAGTCGCCCCTGCTTGGAGAAGCTGTCCCATTTCTCGCAGAGTGCTTTGAACTTCTTTGAACAAAGCTGCGGTTATGTTATGCAAAACTTTACAAATGAATTTAGACAAAGATGTAATTTTCCCAGTGAATGAACAAGCTGCAAGCCACAAAGCCGGTTTTTTTTTTTTTCTTAGAGTAACCCTGGGGTTCTCCTTTGTGCTTGCTTTGAGACAGGTTGATTGACTTATGTGCGATTTGGAAGGCTGGAGTTTTCCTTCCCTCTGCGGACCGGGACGGAGCTGCCTCCGGTGCTGCAGGGAGGAGGCTGAATGAGGCAGAGAAGGTGAGTGGGGCTTGGGCCTGGGCACAAGTCGAAGCAGGTGGGGGGTGGGGGGGACTCTTGCGTCCTGTCTCTTTGATGAGAGAAGGCTCTTCGCCTGACCCTAACAATCTTCCGAGGGGTGTTTCCTTTCTTCTCCCCAGAGGTAGAAGCCCAGAGTCGGCCACAGAGCAGGGTCCCAAGGCTCCCCCGGCAAGGAGGCTGGTGTGGAGGGCGCTTGTGTCTTCCCAGCAGGTGCAGTCGGCCAGCATTAACATGGGTCTTGTCCCCACCGTCCGCCTTAACTGGAAACTTGGGAAGCAGCTTTGTTTGTGGCCCACACCCTCCCTTAGCCTGGGCCTCCACAACCTGAGCCTCCTGAGTGACAGCCCTGGCATATGGGGGGCAGTCCGAGGACCCTCCTCTGGGCGGGGCGTTGGGCCCTGGCAGATGGACAGCTGTCCGGGGCGCAGTAAGCGGCCGGGGCCCACAGCTCCGAAGCCACACCCCACGTCTGCATTGTTCCATTCTGGGTTAGAGTTTCCTGCTGCTCCCGGCAGCTCTTGTTCTACTCTCTTAGGCCAGGGTGGCAAAGGAGGACTGTGGACCATAATGTCAGTGGAGCAGCAATTGGCAGTGGATGACAGGCTGGCCTCCTGAAGGCTGCTGGGCTGGGCGAGGCTGACCTGGAGGCCTGAGCCCGGAAGTTCTTTGTGTTTGGGCATCTCTGCCTCATTGCGTCTCTCTGTCCAGCTCCCTCTCCAGCTGTCTTCTGTCCTCCTAGAAGGAGTTGGGGGTGGGGCCTGGGGGAGGTGGGAAAGAGTTTGAAAGTTGAAAGGTAGAAGCAGAGCAGGCTGATGCCACGACGTGGGATCGGGACAAATCTGATGGACATCCGGCCCCGCTGGTTTTGTGAACTTCGGGAAGTTTCCTAACTGCTCTAAAGCCTCAGTTTCCTGGTTTATACAGTGGGGATAATACTGAACGTTTTGTTGTAAAGATTAAATTAAAAAGTAAACATATAGGCCGGGCGCAGTGGCTCACGCCTGTAATCCTAGCACTCTGGGAGGCCGAGGCGGGCGGATTGCTCGAGGTCAGGAGTTCGAAACCAGCCTGAGCAAGAGCGAGACCCCGTCTCTACTATAAATAGAAAGAAATTAATTGGCCAACTAATATATATATATATATATATATAAAAAAAAAAAATTAGCCAGGCATGGTGGCGCATGCCTGTAGTCCCAGCTACTCGGGAGGCTGAGGCAGCAGGATTGCTTGAGCCCAGGAGTTTGAGGTTGCTGTGAGCGAGGCTGACGCCACGGCACTCACTCTAGCCTGAGCAACAAGCGAGACTCTGTCTCAAAAAAAAAAAAAAAAAAGTAAACATATAAAGAGCCCTGCATTGGTGCCTGGCCTATAGTGGGTGTTCATTGAATGAAGTTATTATTAATTTCTCATATCAGCAACAATTCTGATACACTTGCTTTTCATCAAGGTAGTATCTACGTGAGCCCTTTTAGGGCTACAGTGTCAGGTTCCAGGGACCACCTGGGAAACGCACCTGACCGCAGGGCTTTTTTACCCGGATCATTGTTTGTTACTAAACGCTGAACTTGGTCTTACTGACTGGTGGTAGGGGAGGGGAGCACACCGTTCTTTTGTGTTGCCATGCGTGGAGGACTCTGGTCCCAAAAGTGGTGTACTAGTTTATTTAAATGGGCACGTAATATATGCAAAGCTGCACGGGAACAGATGCCCAGCCTGGTGACAGATCCAGGGAGCTTGTCCAGCTTTGTGTCACCACGTCCGCTCTCTTGGCACGGTTTCACGCAGCCTCCCTGCTCTGTGATCCCTTCCCCCCAGAGTCCCTCCCTGGGCACAGGCATTCAGAGTAGCCCAACCCAATCCCCGCGTCCCGCCTGGGCAGACTCCTCCTGGTTTGCGCTTCTGCACCCTTCCGGTCTAGTTGGCAATCTCGTGTACCGGTTTGGAGCTTTTTCCTTTTTGACGGTGTGTCCTCTTACCTTCATCGTGTTGTTGGACTCTCACCACCATTCCGTGATGGGAGCAAAGCTGGTGTCATCTCTCCCATTTGATTGACACGTCAACTGAGGCTCCAGGAAGCAGTCCGCCCCAAGGGTCACAAAACTGATTCCTACGTAGAAGAGCCCCTAATAGAATTCCGATGCCCTGAATAGTGGGCTGTTTTTCTTGCCATGACCTCACGCTGCCTGCTCTGGTCTGAAGCACCTGCAAAGCATGAAGGGGGACCCCATCAAAGGCCGTTCAGATACACGGGGCAGCCTGGAACACAGAAGGAGGGCAGAAAAGTCACTCTGGCAGGGACATATGGCTATTGAGGGGAAATAAGTTCAGAGAGAGGAGGAGCTGATCCCAGTGTCTTTGGATGGTGATAAGAGTCATGATGATGATGATGATCAGCATGGAGTACTCCCCACGCTCCAGGCACTGTGCTCCCCCTCACAGCGGCCCTGTGAGGTTGGCCCATTACTGCCCACCTTTTCCTGGTGACAGAAGAGAAGTACACAAGGGTTAAGGCGCTTACTTGCTCAAAGCCCCCTAGCTAAGAGAGCGCCAGGGCCTGGATTCGGATCTCACAGTGCAGCTCTGGGACCTGCGCGGTTGGCCATTTGGGTTTGGGCTGCAGTGTGCTTTTAGGGTGGCTTTTCGCTGGAGACAGTGCACGGCTCTTTCTGAGCAGGTGTCCCACCAGGCTCCAGATGTGGATGGGGTCTTGCGGCTCCAGCTCGGAAGCCTCCTAAGAAGCAAGCGTTCCTTCCTCTGTCCCCCTCCCTCTGGCCCTTCTCCCTGTGTTCCCAGGCCACTGCCATCTGCAGCTGCCCCAGGCCTCTGCTCCTGAGCCCACGCTACTCCTCCCACCCCAGCGTTGGCACCTTCCTGCCCCTCTCCCCTCTTCCTTCACCCCTAGTGCTCCTTTTCAGCTCAGGTCACTGGGAGCAGCCCCGGCCCTCTGACGCAAGGCAGAGAAGCCACGCAGCTTCCCCAGGCCTTGAACTTCCCCAGTGGGTCCATGTGGTTAGTTGCACTCAGACTCCTAAGCCCCTCTGCCTGTCAGTGAGAAGCTGGGCCTCCTCTCTCCAGAAACACTGCAACAGGCCACGCCAGACAGCATGGGCTCAGGACACAGGCTATGAGTCGATGGGGGTGGGGCCGTGGAGCTTCCTTAGGGATTGTCTTCTTTGCTTCTCCACTCTCTACCTCTGGGGCAGCCCCCATGCTCAGCCCCCTTTTCCCGTGGGCACTGAGACCTGTAAGGTAGCTGAGGGGACCTGGGTGACGACAGTGGAAGCCACGCCCCTTCATAGCTTTCGCCCTCTGCCTCCTTTCTGCCGAAGCGATGCGATCTTGTCTAGACCCCTCTCAGCCCTTCTTGCTGCCCCTCAGCCCACCTTTCCTCCAACGGCTGCTGGGCTGGAGACGGCGTGTCACCCGTGAGTCTCTGATGCATTATTACAGAGGGCCACAGATTTGGGCAGAGGCAGGCCCTTCCGGGGCGTAAGACATGGAGCTTTCCTCTGTACCACTGAAGCCAACAGGCCATTTGGCACTGAGAGCTGCCAGCACTTTGCAAGCAGACTCCTAGACATGTGGGGCATCTCATAACTTAGGAAAAACCTCACTCTCTCTTGCCTCCCCCTTTCTGCTCCCACCTCCCCTCCTCCAGGCCTCGGAAGCCTGCCGGGGTAGCAGTTGGATCCAGACTGATGTCTGTGTTGGATGTAAATGCAGAAGGCTGCAGGGAGGGAGGGCAGGAACAGATGCTGCTCCCTCCTGCTGTCTCGGTCCTTTCCTCCCTCTGCCTTGCTTATCACGTCAGACGGAATTTTTAAAATGCAACTGGGGATGTGCTATCCTCGGAATATCAGCAGCTAAACCGATATCGACAGCCGAATGGATGTCACTTGGGAAGAACTGACCCAGCTCTCTCTCTCTCCCTGGGTTTGCGTGCAGCTGTCTCGTTGACATCATAGGTCATAGGTCATGGGGGCATTGGTGGAGGAAGCTGGTGTGGAATGTTTTGATGAAGGACACCGTGGCAGAGGCAGGAGAGAGGGGGAGCCCAGAGGGACTTTGGCTGTTCTGGGATCTCCCAAGAACCTCCATCTCCCTCTGGTCCAAAGTAGACCATGCTGTGCAAATAACCGTATGTTGGCTGTGGGACAACACAGAGACAAGGTGTGGCTATCTGCCCGGCATCGCCTACTCTGTAGGTCTACAAAGCGGATTTGAAAGCCCAGCTTGTCCAAAGCCAGGCAGCAAAGCAGCGCACCAGCTGTAATGTTGGGGGAAGGAGAAAGGACCGGTGGTTTTTGAGTGCCAAGTATGTGCCAGGCCTTGGGTTAGATGCTATACGTATACATTAGCTCATGAATTCATTTAGTCATTGTCACAGCAACCTTGAAAAGTAAGTGCAGTTATCCCATTCTTAAAGGCAAGAAAACATGCTCTAAGACAGAATAAACAAACTGCAGAGATCACGCAGCAGGTAGATGGCTGGGTAGGACTGAGACTCAGATGTGTGTGGTCCAAATCCATGCCCTTCCCATCTGCCAGCAGGGTTTTACGTCACTTCCTCCTGGAGCCGAACCTCTGAATCCGTGTCCCGTGTGTTTCCCATGGTTTCCTAGGTGGTTGGCCATTCACCACTCTTTATGAAGCCCAGTCCTGTTCTGCTTTGAGCCGACCCTCCTTCCGCATAGAACCGGAGAAAAAGTAGAAGACTCTTTCCTTGTCCTCGAGAAGCTCATACTCTGGTCACGGGGCTGACGGCCACCTCTCTTTGCCCCACCCCAATTTCACCTGTAGTCTCGCCCTTCTTTTTTTCTCTGAGCTTAGTCTATGGTTTTCAAATGGCTTTGGAAACATGCATGGTCTGTTGCAACTAAGCTCGGAATCCCCCCAATAGAGAGGGCACAATAAGCGGCTTGATGAGAGTGATGTCGCCATAAAAAAATTCATTACCTTTTGCATTAATTACCTTTTGA